GCAGGAGCAGCTGGAATCCCTTGTAACAGATACACCACGGTGCACATGGCCGTGCTCTCACCCCTGGCCTCTCTGGCCGACCTCCTACTCCCCGACCCGCCACTTCACCTTTGCTGCTATTCGAATGCCTTGCCAGAGTCATTTGTTCAAAGCCATCGTTTTTCTTTGCTTTGGGCCTCCAGGGGTCGCTTCCAGGCCCCAGGGCAGTCAGAGGCGGCTCTGGGGCGCAAAAACTACCCCCTGGGAAGGGTCGGGACCTCTGGGGCCACGGATTGGAAACATCACCTCGTCGTGTGTCCGGGGAGGAGGTGGCGGATGAGTGGCTCGAACGAGGCAAATGCGGCAGAGACACGGGCCGCGCACGCACGGGAGTGGAGGTCTCAGAAGATCTCCGCGCGGTAGTTCGGCGGGAACATTATTTCCGATAGAAGTGCTGAAGTCAACCGCGCTGGCGCGGGAACTCCACTTTCGGGCAGCCTCCACGCGGCGCCTGGGCGGGGACGACACGTTGCCCGCTCGCGGCCCCGCGGCCGCTTCCGAGGAGGCCGACGGCGAAAAGAGCGCGAGCCGCGCCGAGGCGTGCACGTCACTCTCGGGCGAATGCTGCGCGATGCTGCGGCGAGGGCGAAGCATTTCACCCGCGCGCGCGCGCGACCGTGCTGCCAGCGACTGCGCGAGCGCCGAGTCGGGAGCGCCACCTGCGGGCGGAGCCTGCGCGGCGCCTTGGGCGAGAGCGCGCCCGCCTCGCGCCCGCGTCGCGGCGAGCGCGGCAAGTGTGGCGCACCCAAGCGTGAGCCATGCTTTGAGAGCGGCTGTGTGTGTGTGGTGTCGAGTCGAGGGCGGCATTCCCCGCTTTCGCGCGCGCGAGATGTGCGCCGCGTGCCGTTCCTGCCACGCATGTGCAACATCGGCGACAGAACGGCCACGTTGAACGGAAGACGATATTATTGTTTTCTTATATCTTGGGTAGGGTGGCAGGTCCCAGGTGGGCCGCCTATCAACCGGCGAGTTGGCAGCGTGGGAGTATACACGTCAGGCAAATTAGGTTTTTCCGAACCATCTTGTGGTGTTGGGTCTTCGTTTTGAGAAGGATCCCCGATTCTCCTCCTCTCCTTCTCTCCTTCTCCTCCTCCCCTCCTCCTGCTCCTCCTCCTCCTCCTCCTTCTCCTCCTCCGCCTCCTTGTCGTCCTCCTTCTCCCGTTCCCCCCTCACTTTGGCACATCCCCCTAACACGTCTCGTGGCCCCATATGGGAGCTCCCCAGAAAGCCCAGATGCCAGCGCTCGCATGCGGCCACCGCCATCCATTTTGGCAAACCCCTCACGCGTTTCGTGGCCCCGTAGGGATCCCCACCGACGGCCCAGATGCTGGCGCTCGCATGTGGCCACCGCACCCAATGTGGCACACCTCTCACCCGCTTCATGGCCCCATATGGAGCTCCACCAAAGGCCCAGATGCCAACGCTCGCATGCGGCCACCGCCACCCATTTTGGCACACCCCTCACACGCGTCGTGTTCACACAGGGAGCTCCACCGAATGCCCAGATGCCAGCGCTCGCATGCGCCCATCGCGCCCTGTTTGGCGCAACTCTGACCCGCTTCATGGCCGCATAGGGCGCTCCATCGAATGCCCCGATGCCAGCGCTCGCATGTGGCCACAGCACTCATTTTGGCACACCCCTCACGCGTTTCGTTGCCCAATGGGGAGCTCCACCGAAAGCCAAGATGCCAACGCTCGGATGCGGCCACCGCACCCATTTTGGCACACCTCTCACACGCTTCGTGGCCACATAGGGAGCTCCACCGAAGGCCCAGATGCCAACGCTCGCATGCGGCCACCGCACCCATTTTGGCACACCCCTCACACGCGTCGTGGTCCCATAGGGAGCTCCACCGAATGCCCAGATGCCAGCGCTCGCAGGTGTCCACCGCCACCAACATAAGGACTCCGCTGAAAGCCCAGATGCCAGCGTTCGCATGTGGCCACCGCACCCATGTTGGCACACCCCTCACACGTTTCGTGGCCCCACATGGAGCTCCACCGAAGGCCCAGATGCCAGCGCTCGCGTGCGGCCACCGCACCGAGATGGCACACCTCTCACACGCTTCGTTGCCCCATGCGGAGTTCCACCGAAGGCCAAGATGCCAACGCTCGCATGCCCCCACTGTCACCCATTTTGGAACATCTCGTCCAGGCTTTGTGGCCCCGTAGGGAGCTCCACAAAAGGCCCAGATGCCAACGCTCGCATGAGGCCACCGCTACCAATTTTGGCACACCCCTCACACGCTTCGTGGCCCCATAGGGAGCTCCACCGAAAGCCACAGATGCCGACGCTCGCATGCGCCTACCGCGCCCATTTTGGCACACCTCTCACACGCTTCGTGGCCCCATAGGGAGCTCCACCGAAGGCCCAGATGCCAGCGCTCGCATGCGGCCACCGGCACCCATTGTAACACACCCCTCACACTCTTCGTGGGCCCATAGGGAGCTCCACCAAAGGCCCAGATGCTAACGCTCGCATGCGGCCACCGCACCCATCCTGGCACACCTCTCACCCGCTCCGTGGCCCCATAGGGAGCTCCACCGAAGGCCCAGATGCCAGCGCTCGCATGCGGCCACCGCCACCCATTTTGGCACACCTATCACACGCTTCGTGGCCCGATAGGGAGCTCCACCGAAGGCCCAGATGCTAGCGCTCGCATGCGGCCACCGCACCCATTTTGGCACACCCCTCACCCGCGTCATGGCCCCATATGGAGCTCCACCGAAGGCCCAGATGCCAACGCTCGCATGCGGCCACCGCACTCATTTTGGCACACCCCTCACATGTTTCGTGGCCCCACAGGGAGCTCCACCGAAGGCCCAGATGCCAGCGCTCGCATGCGGCCACCGCACACATTGTGGCACACCTCTCACACGCTTCGTGGCCCCGTAGGGAGCTCAGCCGAAAGCCAAGATGCCAGCGCTCGCATGCGGCCACCGCACCCATTGTGGCACACCCCTCACATTTTTCGTGGCCCCATAGGGAGCTCCACCGAAAGCCACAGATGCCGACGCTCGCATGCGGCCACCGCACCCATTGTGGCACACCTCTCACACGTTTCGTGGCCCCATAGGGAGCTCCACCGAAGGCCCAGATGCCAACGCTCGCATGCGGCCACCGCGCCCATCTTGGCACACCTCTCACACGCTTCGTGGCCACATAGGGAGCTCCACCGGATGCCCAGGTGCCAGCGCTCGCATACGCCCACCGCCACCCATTTTGGCACACCCCTCGCACGCTTCCTGGCCCCATAGGGAGCCCCACCGAATGCCCAGATGCCAGCGCTCGCATGTGGCCACCGCACTCATGTTGGCACACCCCTCACACGTTTCGTGGCCCCATAGGGAGCTCCACCGAAGGCCCAGATGCCAACGCTCGCATGCGGCCACCGCACCCATTTTGGCACACCTCTCACACTCTTCGTGGCCCCATAGGGAGCTCCACCGAAGGCCCAGATGCCAGCGCTCGCACGCGGCCACCGCACCCAGTTTGGCACATCTCTTCCGCGCTTCGTGGCCCCATAGCGAGCTCCACTAGATGTCCAGATGCCAGCGCTCGCATGCGGCCACCTCACCCATTTTGGCACACCTCCCACACTCTTCGTGGCCCCATAGGGAGCTCCACCGAAGGCCCAGATGCCAGCGCTCGCATGCGGCCACCGCACACATTGTGGCACACCTCTCACACGTTTCGTGGCCCCATAGGGAGCTCCACCGAAGGCCCAGATGCCAGCGCTCGCATGCGGCCACCGCACACATTGTGGCACACTCCTCACCCGCGTCATGGCCGCATAGGGCGCTCCATCGAATGCCCAGATGCCAGCGCTCGCATGCGGCCACCGCACCCATTTTGGTACACCTCTCACGCGTTGCATGGCCCCATAGAGAGCTCCACCAAAGGCCCAGATGACAACGCTCGCATGCGGCCACCGCGCCCAATTTGGCGCACCTCTCACACTCTTCGTGGCCCCATAGGGAGCTCCACCGAATGCCCAGATGCCAGCGCTCGCATGTTGCCACCGGCACCCATTGTAACACACCCCTCACACGCTTCGTGGGCCCATAGGGGGCTACACCGCTCCACCGAATGCGGTGCATACAACGACGGTGCCCACTACTTCATTTGATTGGGTCCTTCGCAAGGCTAATTTTGTTGTGTGCGTGAGTGCGTTTGTGCGTATGTGTGTGTGTGTGTGCGAGAAAGAGAGACAGAGAGAATGAGAAAGAGAGAGAGAGAGGGGGAGCTGGTTTCTGCCGCGCAACTGTTCTGTGTCTGCTTCCCGTCGACAAAGCTCGGTGGTAATACCTTTTAGCGCGTCCCGCTATTCGCTTCCATGAGTTGGACCAACTGGCCTTGAAGTGAAAAAGTGTGTGAGAAGGCCTATGCTTGTTTTTGTCTGCTCTACCTGCGCCTCATTTCTCTGCATCAACGCTCGGTCCATGACCGAGGGAAGCGCTTTTCGACATGATCCCGCCAATTGCCTTCAAGCGTGTCCCGCCCTCGCTTCCGGTCGATTGGGGTCATCGGCGCGTCGGCGTCGGAGGAACCCTTGTGTGCGTGTGTACGCACACAGGGGCATTTGCTTGAGCAAGGTCGTCAGGAGCACGCCTGTGCACTTCGCACCAGCGCGCCCCGCCGGTTCTTCACAGGCTGTGGGTCCAACGTCGCGGAGGAGGAACAGTGCGTGCGCGTGTGTTTTCCGCACAGTCGGACCGAGGTATAAGATCGAGCGAGGTGGGTTCGTGGAGGGTACCTCCATGTTCTTCCTGTTTGCTGGATGTTCTTGTGCTTCCTGGGGAGGGTACCCTCGAACGCTCTTCTTTTTGGCCGGCGGAGGGTCTCATGTTCTTGAAGGATGTTCTTCTGTCTTAGGTTCGATTGCATCCATCTTGGCTCAAGCACGAGAGTTCTGCCGAGGCTCTGGAAAAAGGCGCTGCCACACGCCGCACCGCCGCAGGCCGCAGAACGACGCCATGCGTGCAAACGCCACGCTCCTCTTCTTTCTGTACCTGCTGGGGGTCTTCACGTGGCGGCAGATCTCGAAGGCCCCAAAGGTCCAGAGGGCGATCCACGGCGCATGCTTGGGGCCGGCCCTGCAGTGGTACACCCTGCTGCTCGTGGGCTGCGCGGCCATGGCGTGGCGCTTAGTTGGCCCCGGGGACGGCAGGTGTTTTTTTTTTGCTACTGTGTTCAGAAAGTGCCTCTTCAGGGTGAAAATGTCAACAGAAAGGTTCACCGAATCGGGTTGGGCAGTCCGGGGTTCGAAGGATGTCCGGAACCGGTTCGAAATCGGCTCGGATCCGGTAAGAGAAACGGTGATTTGGACCAGGCCCCCGCTATGGCGGCCGCCATGGGAAACACAAATGGTAAAATAGCAGTGCTGGAAACGTCAAACAAATGCGCCAGCAATCGTGAAACAACGAAAAATACAAGCTGTAAAAACATGTTATGTTTTTTTTCCAAGGCCGTCTAAGGCATGGCGGACCCTGTACGAGCTCTTCGGGAGCTACTACGGGTTGGACAGCCTTGAGGTCATGGACAACTTGGAACGGTCTTTTGCCGTGAGCATAGACCACCTCCCGAATTCCAACACCACCTTCGCGGACTTCAAGGCGCACCTCTCGATGCCGACGGCACTCAAGCGGTTCTTCAAAAAGAAAGCATTGCACAAGCATACGCCCGCGCAGATCTCGGGGCGGCGCTGGATCCCCCCTCCCTGGCGCGCGGAATGCGCCTGGGGCGGGGGCCGCCAGGGGTGTCCGGCGCCGATCCAAGGTATCCTTAAGTCGGCCCTGCCCCTCTACAGGGGGAATACTTAAACATAGATAGTCTGGGGACGATTTGTTTTAACGATTTTTGAATATTCTACGGTATTGTTTGACTATTTTTTATAATTCGTCCGAAATCCCTCTGTAGGGGGACACGCCCGACTTCAAGGTATCCGACCAGAATTCCGAAAGTATCTTATGGCCTTCGGCCTTCGGTCCATCCCGCCACCGTGCCTGTGGGTAGCCTCTCGGTGGCCTCTTGGAGGCCGTTTGGGCGCCTCTAGGGGCCGTTTTGGGGCCTCCTGGGGCCTCTTGTGGACCTCTGGGGGGCCTGTCGGGAGCCCCTTGGGGGCCTCTTGGGCGCCTCTGGGGGCCTCCTCCTGGGCGCCTCGTGGGGCCTCCTGGGGGCCTGTTGGGGCGAAAGGCTAAGATTTCGTGTTCCTTCTCTTGAGCCCCTTTTGGGACCGCCTCGGGGCCCTCTTGGGCCGTCTTGGGCGCCTCTTGGACGGTTTTTGGACCCTCTTGGGCCGTTTTGGGGCCCTCTGGGGGGGCCTCTTGGGCCGTCTTGGGGCGGTCTCGTTTGGGAGCGTCGGGAAGACGAAACGGCGAGAAAGCAAACAACCTTCAAACCTCCAAAAATTAAGTGATTTTGGCCTCTTGGCGCCCTCTTGAGAGGCCTCCTCTTGGAGGCCTCTTGGAGGGTTTTGGAGGCCTCTTGGGCCGTCTGGGTGTTACCTTGAGCGCCTTTGAGCGATTGTTCGGCGACTCGGGGCCCTCGTGGACCGTCTGGTGGGCCTCGTGGGCCTCTTGGGGCCCTCTTGGCCCGTCTTTGGGCCCGCTTGGGGACGAAAAGGTCATGCGACAAGCCGCGGGAAGCCCAGGAGATTCTGGAAATTGGGGTCGGGGCCCCTGAAAGACTCCTTAGGGCTGAGGACTGAGGCTCCAGGGATTATCGGCGGCGAGCGAGGGGGGTAATGAGAAGAAAAAGGCCTTCTCAGAAGGTTCGGAAGTCCCCTGACCTTCTGAGGAGGCCTTCTCCTTCTCACTCCCCCCCCCCCTTTGCTCGCCGCCGAGATTAGGTAAGGGACCTGAGGACACGCCCACTCCGTGCCCGGAGGCAGGGTGGCATGCACAGTCAAGACGCCGAAGTAAGTACCACTTGGGTTTCAGGAGGGTCTCTGGTTTTCAGACCGTTCCTTAGACCGAGATCGGGGAACCGATTCGTGACCGATGCTCGCCGCGGTCAGAAAAGCGCCTTCGTTCCACATTCAGCGCCCCTTCTGCTAGCGCGACGGCTGTATGTTTGTGAAACTTTTCTTTTGCCAGGTTCAGCATGCTCAGTATCCTGGCTGGCGTCCCGGTGCTGGTGGTGGCCGCCAGCCATGTTTTCGTCAAGTTTGCGTACCCAGGCATGCGGATCGTCGTGAGCAGGGAGATTGGCGGCCACAAGGGGGTGGCGCGAGGGGGGGTGGCCTTCTAAGAAGGCGGGAGGGCTGCTTGGAGAGGCAGAGGCGTGCTTAGAAGGGCCCAGCGGCTTCGCGGATGGCTTCCCAGAAGCCGGGAGTGCTCCCGAGAAGCCGCCTGCCTTCCTGGAAGGCCCCTTGCCGTCCCGGGAGGCGGCCTCTCTGGTGCCGCCCCCCCGTGGGCGCCGCCGGAGGAGGACGAGACGAGCGCGACGCCATGGTGGCCCGCGCCCCGCATGAACAGGCTCATCACGATCATACTCATGCCCGTCCTGCTCTCGGTGATGTCGATGCGCGGGTCGTGCCGCATCGCGGGCAGCGCCGAGGGGGGGTTCACCACCACTGGGGGATGGCCGGCTCCTCCCGGGCATCGAGGCTCGAGGGCGGAAGCTCTTAAGGAGGTTTTCGGAAGGTTGGGAGCATTTTTCGTCTCTGGGGTGTTTGGGGGGCTCCATTTTCAGGAGGCAAAGAAACACACAGACACAATGAATCGTCGATTTCCCAGAAACTATGGGAAAATATGGGAAGTGGGGGGGAAGACAAAAACCCAGAAAATATAGGAAAATATGGGGGATCCGTTTATTTGTGTGTATTTATTTGTGTGTCCCAGGGCCCCTTCAGGGAAGGCCGTTTCCTCGAGGAGGCGGCGACCCTCTCAGTGGTGACCCCCCGTGGTACTGCCTGAGCATCTGGGCCCTCACCACCGGGCAGGCGCACAACCACTTCCAGACCTCCTTCGACAGGGTCGAGAAGTGGGAGATGGCCCTGTACCGCATGGACCAGGATCAGGGGCAGCGTTTGGGGGGAGATGCTCAGGGGGGGAACACATCGGTGTTCGAGGACTTCGGAACTTCTAGTTGGTTCTCGGCGGGTTTTCAGCCTCGGGGTGCGTTCCAGCGGCTGCGCCTCGTTCAGAGCGTTCTGGGGGTGCCTTGATTGTTCCGAACGGGCGCGGGATAGCCGAGTCGTGGTCTGCAAAATCAGGGAGCGTCGACAGGGGGGACAGGCTTAGGGGTGGAACGCATCGACTCTCAATCGCCCACTGATCGCCGATATGGGCCCGACAGCCCACCCCGCCAAGGAACTGCCGGATTCGCTATCCATAGCCAGTCTGTCGGCGGTGTATGGCCGATTCGAGGTCAATGTTTTCCCTCCCCTGAGCCGGTCCCTCCCTGGCCTTCCCCCCCAGCAGGAGGTGGGGCAGCTGTTCCAGTTCGTCAGCGTTTATGCCTTTTGCCGCATCTGCAGCTCCTTCCTGAACGAGACCCTCGGGGAGGTCACATGCGGCAATAACAACAGTGGCGAGCTTGCCGCTGTGGCCAAGGACTGCGCGTGCTGTGCTACGCAGTGCGCGTGTGTGGGGGTCCTTGTGGTTGTGCGGGACCTTGCTTGGAGTGGGGAGGAGGAGGAGGAGGAGGAGGAGGACGAGGAGGAGGACGAGGAGGAGGAGGAATAGGAGGAGGAGGAGGAGTGGGGAATTGAGCAGGAGGATGAGGGGCTGAGGGGGAGGACTTTTTGTATTGCGCATCTGATTCAACCGCTGGCTGGTCAGGACTTCAGTCGGCACTCATCTCGCCAATGGCTTGTCGGGAATGCAGTTGGCACTCGGAAGTGGCTGCTCCCCAAGCGGTGATTCGGCATGGGCGCCAAGGAGTGCTGGCAGGCGTTGCTGCCTCCTTGGCAGGAATGAGGGCAGCAGAAACGCACCAGCGCAGCGGGGCTGCGAGCAGCAGTGACAACGTACGGTGACAGGGCGGCAGCACAACAGGCAGGAAGCGAGGGCGGTCCTGGTCTGTTTCCCTGTGTCGGGCCCCTGCCAATGCAAACATAAATGGGCCAATGCTCGACCCTGCTGCGTAGACCTGAGCTATCTTCGAGCCCAAATCGGCACGCAGACGAGAAGGTGGAGGAACACAGCACGACTATTCTCTCTAAGACGCGGGGGATAGGGCACCTGCACAACCCTACCACTCGCCTTGGCCAACATGACATCTCTTGATTGACAAGCCGCCAGGCTAGTCGGAAAGTGCGTGCTGTCATCAGTACCCGAGGTATGGCAAATCAGAGTGAAGGGGCCGAACGGTCATTCACTGTCCCTGGGTGCGTGGCTGAAGTGGGATTCCGCGATGGGGACTGTTGTTGTTGCTGTTGCTGCTGCTGTTGCTGCTGCTGTTGTTGCTGCTTGTTATTGTTTTTGCTATTTTTGTTGTTGTTGTTGTTGCTGTTGTTTTTGTTGTTGTTTTTGTTGTTGTTGTTGTTGTTGTTGTTGTTGTTGTTGTTGTTGTTGCTGTTGTTGTTGTTGTTGTTGTTGTTGTTGTTGTTGTTGTTGTTGTTGTTGTTAGTGTTGTTGTTGTTGTTGTTGTGGTTGTTGTTGTTGTTGTGGTTGTTGTTGCTGCTATTGTTGTTGTTGGTGTGGTAGTAGTTGTTGTTGCTGCTGCTGTCGCTGTTGTTGCTGTTGTTATTGTTGCTATTGTCGTCGTCGTCGTTGTTGTTGGTGTTATTGTTGCTGTTGTTGCTGTTGTTGCTGTTGTTGGTGTAGTTGTTGTTGTGGTTGTTGAACTCTCATTTGTGAAGAATAGCTATTTCTGATCACCCCTCACCGGTGCATGCTGTTTTTTCTCAGTTAAAGTGTGCCCCTCGACGCTCGCACCCTGTTTTTTGGAAGGGAAAGTCTTGGTGGTCAAACTGGGCCCCTGGCCCCCCGGACTACAACAACAACGGCTCCCGCCTGAGACTTCCTCCAAATTTGCTCAGGGCCACCCCCTCCCGTTTGAGACTTCCTCCCGATTTACTCAGGAACGGCGCTCCCGCATGAGACTTCCTCACAATTTAGTCCGGGTCAAACTGCGTTGTTGCTCCCCCTGACTACTACAACAACGGCTCCCGCCTGAGACTTCCTCACAATCGATTGAAGAATCGGGCTCTCGCTTTGGACTTCCTGGCAATTTGCCACCGACCCGCGGCTCCCGCCTGAAATTTCCTGACAATGTATTATAGAGTCGTATTCTCATACGCACCTCTCCGAGGGAGTAGAGCTCAGAGGCGATTAATGCGTACGCGGGGCGTTCGCGATTTTTCTGGCCGTTTCGCTAGGGAAATCCTCGAAATGCTGAAAATCGGTGGCACCCCTCACGCAGATCGTGACGTCAGGGTCCAAAAACAGATGGGAATTTCATTATTTTAACATAAAACCTTCAAAAACATATAGTAATTTCAACAATGTTGACCCCGATTCTCAGAGAATGGCGGTTTCGCCTGAAACATCCTCCCAAAATCGAGCCCCGACGTACCCTCTGGTACCCCAGACCTCGCCTCGGAGCCTCCTGGGGGCCTTCTGGAACCTCCTGGGGCCTCCTGGAGCTTTCTGAACCTTCTGGTAGCCCAGACCCCGCCTCGGAGCCTCCTGGAGGTCTCCTGAAACCTCCTTGGGCCTCCTGGGGCCTCCTGCGGCCTCCTGGAGCTTCTTGGAGCCTCCTGAAGCCTCCTGGGCTCTCCTGGGGCCTCCTGAGGCCGCCTGGGGCCTCCTGGGGCCTCCTGGGGCCTCAGAACTACACGCACACAGAGACACAAATCACGCCCAACACATCACACGCTAGACAAACATAACATGCACAACACCTACAACGCGCAAGAAGCACGCACAACACAGAGCACACATCACACACCCACACCCACACCCACATCCTTGTTCCTTATTAGAATATACCCCCACCTACGTCGTATTCCGGCCGATAGCGACCCAATCCGGGACCTCCCATC